TCCGGCCCTCCCCGCTTGACCCTCCCCCGGCGGGGGCCGGGCCCCCGCGCCGCCCGGAGGGAGGCCGGCTCCCTCCCGGGGGCGGCCGCCCGCGACCCCGCACCTGGCGCCCCCTCCCTGAAGGGCACGCCGTCCTCCCGGGCCGGCCCGCCTCCTTCCCACCCCCGCGCTCCTAACGGTAGCTCTTCGGCCCTCGGAAGCCCGGCCCAGGCCCCCCGCCTACCCCCGCCCGCATCCTCCGCCCGGGGGCCCGGGACCCTAATGCCCGGTTCTCCCCGGAGATATCCACCAACGCGCCTCCGGTTTCTTATCGGCCTGAGCTGGGCCTGGCGGGTCTTAAAGTCCAAGCTTTCCGTGACTTCTGGCTAACGTGGAAGCCTCTTCTCTTAACCACAGCACTTCGCCTGGGTCTTCGCCTAAATTTCCTTTCAGCGAGCGACATTAGTGCTTGGTCATTGGGGTCTTCTTCCTCCCGGTTGCCCGGCCGTGTGAAACACCTTAGTCTGTCCTGTCGCCAGGCTGGGCCCTTCCCAGCCCATCTCCCCTGATGCAGCAGCTCCCCAGTCACGGCCCCTCACACTTTGCCTTTTTTTTTTTTTTTTCCAAGTTAACTTTAAAAAGACCCTCATCTCACACGTCGTACCCAGCCATTACTAGAATTCCCAGTGAGCGTACAGGTCTGGTCCATCATAGGGCCGGGCCTAGCCCCGGGGATAGATGCTCAACCAGTACTTGTTGGCCAGCTCTTTCTTCCACTCACCCCAGTCTCACTCCCCTCTTGCTTCTCATTGCTGCTTTTCCAGAGATCAGCCTCCACAGCCTTTCTGCTGCCCGAGAGCTGACACGCGGTTGCAATTTAGCCCTCGCCCCTTGGCTTGCATCTGAAACACCTTGGGTACCAACAGGCTGGTCCCCTTAGCTTCTCACAGTGTGGGTGTTTGCTCTCTGGTCTTTCATCGGTACGTTCCCTGTGCAGTCCCAGGCCACCCACCCTCACCCCAGACTCAGTTTTATTTCCTAGATGGTAGGTCTAGTGTGTCATTGGGCAGGGTTGGAACAGATCTGGAAGTTGTGTGGCTGCCATGGCCTGGACCAGGGACCTCGAGGGGTCCCACATGGTGATTACAGTCAAGTGAGTTCTGTTCTTAGACTCCTGGCCTGTCTTTCTCAGCCAGCAGATGTGTCAGTGTTGGCTGTGGTTTGATGGATTAAAGGACCCCAGTTTGCCCTGGCTTTTACATCTGTAGTTGGGAGTTGGGATAGGAAAAAAAAAAAAAAAGCCCCACTTTAGAGCAGAGGAGGTGAGAAGTGGCTACGGGAAGGATTTTTTTTTTGGTTTTTTTTTTTTTTTTTTATGTGGACCATTTTTCAAGTCCTTATTGAATTTGTTACAGTATTGCTTCTGTGTTTTTTTTGTTTGTTTTTATGTTTTGGTTTTTTGGCTGCGAGGTATGTGGGATCTTAGCTCCCCAACCAGGGATCGAACCCACAGCCCCTGCATTGGAAGGTGAAGTCTTAACCACTGGACAGCCAGGGAAGTCCCTATGGGAAGGATTTTAAAAATTATAACGAGAAATTAAAAATGGTTTAAAACTCACAAAGTGTGCTTGTGAATTTGGGGTGGTTCTTGCTGCACGTGCCCCTTCTCCAGTCTCAGGTAGGGTGTCGGAGACGTCAGTGTCTCCTATCAGGGCAGCTGCAGCCTCTCTTCCTTGTTTTCTCTGCTTGGAGCCCAAGACTGGGCAAGTGGGCAGAAGGGATCAAATTAGGTAAAGTGTGAAAGTGTTTAGCAAACTGTTAACTACTAGACATGCTGCGGGGCGTTGTTATGATGGCTCAGAGGGCAGAGCTGGGAAAACTGACCAGCTGGGAAGAACATGGGCTTGCACCTCTTTTTAAGTCTCAAGAGTTCTCCTACCCCGCATGGAGACTCTTTCCATCCTGAGAAAGGGCGGAGTCGCCTCCAACAGGCTTGGGGCTGGGTGGTTGCTCAAATGTTGGGGAATTTGGTATTGTACTTCTGTTAATAGTGGTACCTTCCTGTGCCAAAGCACATTGCTCTGGATTGGGGCTAATTTTCGCGGTGATGGAATGAGGAAATAACGTTCTTAACTTAGTGTGTACTGGGACTGCCTATTCTCTGGATTTTTTCCTTCTCCTGTAAGTTCTGAACCCCAGAGAACAGGGTCCCCTCGTGTTCCCTCAAGCCTGTCGTGAGCACCCAGGACCAGTGTGTGTCCTCTCCCTTGGACTCCGGCAGGGGGCAGTCTTTTAAGAGCAGTAATTCAGGTGTTCAGGGAGTGAGGGTATGCTGAGGCTTGAGAAGGAGAAGGGGGCGGGGTGTGGATAGATGTGGCAGACAGATGCTGAGAGGTGGGGGCTAAGCACAACATCCTTAGGTCAAGTAGCCGGGGAGGGATGCGGTCTCCGTCCGCTGCCTGCCACCTCCTCCTCTTTCCTTCACTGGAAGGGGATCCAAATGCGGGGCTTTCAAAGTTTGTGATAGACTCAGGACAATTTTGTTTAATCTATTCTTTTCCCGAGGATTTCCCTCCTGGCAGGATTGCAGGTTTCTCTCATGGGACAGTGTAATTAGGGAATGATTTCCTTGCTCTTCAGAGGCAGGAATGAGCTGGAGTAAATTTGGTTTCTCTTGTCTTACATTCTTCCCCATAAACAGACAATAGGTATGGTTACCTTCTGCCTGCGGCACACAGGGGGGTTTCTTAACTGTGCCCCTGTTGGTAATCCGGGCCCAGACAGCTCTTTGCAGTGAGGGCCGTCCTGGGCAGCGTAGGATGTTGAGCAGCAACCCTGGCCTCTGCTCACTGGACGCCAGTAGCATTTCCCAGTCACACCGACCACAAATGTCCCCCGACATTGCCGCATGTGTCCTGGGGAGCAGAGTTGCCCCCAGCTGAGAAGCGGTGGCTTTGACGAAGGGCGTGGGAAAGATGCACGCCTGTTTGGAGCTAGAAACGGTGGGGCGCGTGTGTGCTGCCCACAGTCGGAGGGCCAGGCAGCCACCGGCTTCTGGGAGCCAGGCCTCCCCTGGCTGGGCCCGCCTGGACGCTTGACCTTTCTCACCGGCCGCTCCTCCACTTCCTCTCGCCTGATTGCCTGTCTCTGTCGCCTCCGCAGTTTCCCTGCTTCTCACACCGGGAGCCAGCACTTTTTCTCAGTTCGCTCCTTGCAACCAGGACAGAAGGGCGACGGCTGAAGTGGGAAGCGCCCGGCGGCCAGCCGCCTTTGCCACTCCCTGGAGGGGTGGGAGGGTGAGTTGTCCCCTTTCTGTCCTCTCACCCCGCAGCAGCTTTCCATGCTCGCAGGACTCTTTGTCCCATCCGTCTAGGATGGGGCTCTTCTGGGGTGGCCTGGAAGAGGCTCAGAACAGCCTCTCCTGAGTTTGTTTGAAGGAAGTGGGGTGTTTTTCTTGGAGTGACGAAGACTTAGTATGTGATAGCTATCCCCAAATGTCTTCTTTTCCCCCTAAGCCTTTTTTTTTTTTTACCAGTAATGTTTATTTTATTATTATTATTTTTTGGCCGCACCACGCGGCATGTGGAATCCTAGTTCCCCGACCAGGGATCGAACTTGCGCCCCCTGCATTGGAAGCATGGAGTCCTAACCACTGGACTGCCAGGGAAGTCCCCCCACAAACCTTTTAAAAATGGTCAAATGTAACATATACCAATTTAGCTATTTTTTAAAAATTATTTTTATTTTTTTGTTTTTGGCTGCATTGGGTCTTTGTTGCTGCGCACGGGCTTTCTCTAGTTGTGGCAGGCGGGGGCTACTCTTCGTTGTGGTGTGCAGCTTCTCATTACAGTGGCTTCTCGTTGCGGAGCACAGGCTCTAGGCACGCGGGCTTCAGTAGTTGCGGCGTGTGGGCTCAGTAGTTGTGGCTTGCGAGCTCTAGAGTGGAGGCTCAGTAGTTGTGGCTCACGGGCTTAGTTGCTTCGCAGCATGTGGGATCTTCCCGGACCAGGGCTTGACCCCGTGTCCCCTGCATTGGCAGGCGGATTCTTAACCACTGCACCACCAGGGAAGCCCCCACGCTAGCTATTTTTAAGGATACAATTCTGCAGCGTTAAATACATTCATCACGTTGTTGTGCAGCCATCCACCTCATCCCCAGAACTTTTTCATCTGCCCCATTTCAGCTGGAACTGTCCCTGTTAAACAACTCCCCACTCTCCTTGCCACCCCACCCCCAGCCCTGGCACCCACTGTCTACTCTGTTCTTCTGAATTTGACTCCCCTGGTAATCTCACGTGAGAGGAATCGTCCAATATTTGTTCTTCCGTGACTGGTATGTTTTATTTAGCTAATGTTTTCAAGAGTCATTCGTTGGCCAAATTACATAAGGGTTGTAGCATAGACAGAACTAACCGGACTCGGCTGTTCTGGGAGGCCTACTCGAATTCAGTGACAGGAAGAGCTTTTCAACAGGCCTGTCTTCTCTGACGGCCGTGTGGGCTGTGGCGTGCTCCAGCTCCAGAAGTGGCTAGCTGAGGCTGTTGTAGAAGAGACGCCCGTGCCGGGGGAGGTCAGCCCTGCTCTGCATGGTCTCACAAGCTGCATCGCCCTAGGACGCTGGGATTCTGGGAGTGGGTCCCGTGGCTGTCGTGGAGTTTGCTCTGGGCTGCAGCTTTCCCCTGGCCCCTTTGGTGGAAACCCTTCTTCTTCCTTCCTTCCCAGAGTTGTGGAGTCTTGGAGTCGATGGGAACTGTGGAGGTGCTCCGGTCCCGCCTCCGCCCCAGCCAGTGAGGGAAGCCCTTACACGGCTCCCTGAGACCCTGCCCTCCCCCCATCTGCTTGGCACCACCAGGGATGTGCCGCCTCCTGAGAGCCGCCTCCGCTGTTCCTTAGAGGGACGGGTCGCTGCCACCACCACAACCGCTTCTGTCAGCCTCAGTAACTCTGACCTTATTCCTGCTTTGTGGTGAGGGAGCCTTCTTCCTAGCTTGTATCACGGTAACGTCGTTCCCTCTTTGGCTCTCTGTCCTTAAGATCGGGCTCTTCCAATCCCAGGGACCGGGCCTCGGTGTTGACTCCGGTCTGGTGAGTGAGCCCTGGGCACGCTGGCTGGAGTGGCCGGCCACAGCCTTCAGCGCGCCCCACCTCAGGCTCTGGAATAGCCCCCGCTCCCCTTGTACTGGGTCTCTCCCCAAACTGAGTCTCTGGATTCTAGCTGCCAAGTGGCCAGACCTGAGTGTTCTCAGGGGAGAGGTAATTTTGCTCCCAGACAAACTTCTCACCCTCTTAATAACTGGCCTTTTCTCTCTCTAGAACATTTGGGACTCCAGTGGGTTTTTTGCTTGTGTGTGTGTGTGTTTTATCTTTGTCCTAAACATCCACGTGTACCTCAGGCACCCCTTCACTGAATGCTGGGCCACTTGGCGAGAGTGCTGAGCTGTCGGGAGGTGCCTGGTGTTCCCTGCCACACCCCCAGCACCTCCGCCTGGCTTGGCCGAGTGAACTGGCTGCTCGAGAGGCCTGATGAGTGGAGGGCAGCGATGAGGAGGAGCAGGGCCTGGGCTGCCCTGTGCTCCATAACCAGCGGCCTCCAGGCAGCTGTGGGCCTTCTCGTTATGCAGGACGGAGGAGGGCTGGAGGCAGGGAGGTCTGTCTCACCTTTAATTTAACCCCACTTTCTTCTCTTCGCCCCTCAATAAGGATCTTTCCCAGATGTGAAGGTCCCTCCCTGGGCACTGCTGTGGTCAGACCAACATCCAGTTGCCTGGGGACCCTGGTTCACTCCAGCACAGGCCCTTGCCTGGAGAGAGCCCGGCCCCTGCCCTGCCTGCTTCCCTGGGCAAGGCTGCCAGGTGAGTCTGGGCCAGAGGGAGGGCGTCCCCCTGCGGAAGCTGGAAGGGGCTCTGCCTGCCTGTTTTCATCCCCTCCCCCAGGCCTTCCTCCACCGTGACTGTTTGGTTAACTCATGGTGTGAGTGGCACGTGGCTGGCTTAGGCGAGTCCTTACAGAGCCCATTACTGTACCCACCTAGTCCTCATCCCCTCGGGCTCTCCGGCTGTGCTGTCTCCAAGGCCCAGTGTCCCCCACGTCTCCACAGGTGTTTGGAGAGTGAACACCCGGTACCCCCTCCCCTGCTCATCCCCTCGACCTCTAGGACACGCCCAGCTCCACAATGGCAGCAGAGACCCTCAACTTTGGGCCTGAGTGGTGAGTCAAGTGTGCTTTGGGTGGCGTAGAGAAGCCGGGAAGGACGGGGCTGCTCAGATTTCTGTCCCTCTCCTTCTCGTGCCCCTTCTGCAGGCTGAGGGCCCTTTCCAGTGGTGGCAGTGTGGCCTCCCCACCCCCATCCCCCGCCATGCCCAAATACAAGCTGGCCGACTATCGCTACGGGCGAGAGGAGATGCTGGCCCTCTATGTCAAGGAGAGCAAGGTAGGGGTGGGCGGGCGTGGGGTGTGGCCCAGTTGCCCGCTTGGCCTTGGCCGGTGGAGAGGGCCCCGGAGCATGTGATACCTCCTGCCCCGGTTGACAGGTCCCCGATGAGCTGCAAGACAAGGAGTTTGCTGCGGTGCTGCAGGAGGAGCCACTGCAGCCCCTGGCGCTGGAGCCTCTGACTGAGGAGGAGCAGGTGGGGCCCTGCCGGCGGGTGCCGCGTCTCCACCGTGGAGGGGGCTGGAGTTGGGAAGGCAGGTGGTGGAGTTGCGGTTGTGGGTGGGGTGGGAGCGGTCAGGTGCCTGGGTCCTCACTCCCACCCCTGGCTCCCTCCTCAGAGAAACTTCTCCCTGTCAGTGAACAGTGTGGCTGTGCTGAGGCTGATGGGGAAAGGGGCTGGTCCCCCCCTAGGTGGCGCCTCCCGTGGCAGGGGCAGCACGCGGAGCCGAGGTAGAGGGGGGTGATGGCGTGTTCTGGGGCGGGCAGCAGTGGGATTCGCGGTCTTGAGGACTTGGAGGGGTGAGCCGGCAGGTTTCCCACGCGCACCTCATTCCTCCTCCAGGCCGCGGCCGCGGTGACAGTTGCTTTTACCAAAGAAGCATTGAAGAAGGCGATGGGGCCTTTGGCCGAAACCCCCGGGAGATCCAGCGTAGCCAGAGTTGGGATGACAGGTGCAGGCTGGGAGAAGGGGGCACAGAGGCAGAGCAGAGAGGGGCCCCGGGGTTAGGGCCCAGGGTCTCACGGAGGGAGGCTTGGGTCTTGTCATCAGAGGGCACCGGGAGACCCACCAGATCAGCCCTAGTCAGAGAGCTCTCTCTGTGCCCTCTGACCCCCTATGACCCTGCCCTTTTCCTTCCGATTCTCTGGGCACGCCCTTGGGCTTCCTTCCAAGCCCCCCCCCATCTCCCCTCCCCCATCCCCCTGCCCACCCCCGCCCCCTCCCGCATCTCTCGGGGCAGAATGAACAAGGTGAGCAGAGATCCTGCAGGTTGGGGGCGGAACTGTCCTCTGACCCACACCTGTCCCTCCCACAGAAGCGAGAGGCGGTTTGAGAAGTCGGCCAGGAGGGATGGAGGTATGGAGAGTGGCGAGGGTGATGGCCAGGCCCTGAGTTCGTTAAGAGGTGGGGGAGGACTGAAATGGGTGGCCCCGGTTGGGGGATGTTTCCTGGGGGAGGTGGTAGGGGCAGGAGGGCCCGGAGCTGGGCTCATCTTTCCCAGCAAGGTGTATAGTAAGAGTCTTGCAGGGACCGTGGCCGCCGCCCGCTGACTGTGTCTTCCCCTGCTCCCAAGCGCGATCCGGGTTTGATGAGGGAGGGGCTGGCCCGAGGAAGGAGCATGCCCGCTCAGATAGCGAGAACTGGCGTTCTCTCCGGGAGGAACAAGAGGAAGAGGAGGAGGGCAGCTGGAGACTTGGGGCAGGACCCCGGCGAGATGGCGACCGCTGGCGCTCTGCCAGCCCTGGTGAGATGGGGGCCAGGTGGGCGCCGTTGGGGGCGGCGGGTGGCGAGAACTTCCTGTGAGGGTGGGCACCTACGGCCAGGCAGAGGGAGCAGAGAGTTCTGGAGCGGGGCGGGTGGGAATGCAGTCCCGGAAGTGCCGGTTCCGGGCCGGGGGTCCCAGTGGGCGGCAGAAGAGTGGGGACTCTGGCTTGACTGGGATACCGATTCTCCTTCTCCGACTTTTCCTGCCCAGATGGCGGCCCCCGCTCTGCTGGCTGGCGGGAACATGGGGACCGGCGTCGGAAGTTTGAATTTGATTTGCGAGGGGATCGAGGAGGGTGTGGTGAAGAGGAGGGGAGGGGTGGGGGGGGCGGCTCTCACCTCCGGAGGGGCCGAGGGCCTGACGGCTTTGATGACGACAAGGATGGGCTCCCGGAGTGGTGTCTGGACGATGAGGATGAAGAAATGGGCACCTTCGATGCCTCCGGGGCCTTCTTGCCTGTCAAGGTATCTGCGAGGCGGCGAAGGGGAGACTTTTCTTAGAGGTTGGTGGGAACCTGCCCTGAGGGGGTCCTCTCACTCCACTCTTTTTTCCTCTGCCGTTCACCTCCCTGTCATATCCCCTAACCTGTGCAGAAGGGCCCCAAGGAGCCCATTCCTGAGGAGCAGGAGCTCGACTTCCAGGGTCTGGAGGAAGAGGAGGAAGAGCCTTCCGAAGGGCTGGACGAGGAGGGGCCTGAGGCGGGTAAGCCTGCGCGGTAGGGCAAGGAGGACGCCTGCAGCCTCGAGCGAGCAGGGTCTGCGGGCAACACGGAGGGAGGCCGGTGCCGACACAGTGTGGGGAGGAGCCTGCAAACAGCAGGGCTGTGTCCAGAAGGCCAAGGGTCAGATGAAAATCAAAGCAGAATCAAAATGACCTTCGACAGTCCCTCGAATCTGTCGAACACGGTATTAAACCAGTGGTATTGTGTGTACAGCCCCGGACGGTGATACGGATGCGTGTCCATTACCGCAGGGGCAAGAGAGGAAGTGTGCAAAGTGGGGTTTGTGGTGTCAGTTCACCGAACCTTAGTTGTGTTGACCAAAGATACGTGGGTGGACTCAATACCCAGAGGCCCTTCTGACCACAAATGGAAGGTTTGTGCTAAATCATTTTTAAGGCCTTCCGGCTCTTTGGTTTTGAATTCTGGTAATTACCCTTCCCTTTCAGGTGGGAAAGAACTGACCCCACTGCCTCCTCAGGAGGAGAAGTCCAGCTCCCCATCCCCACTGCCCAGCTTGGGCCCACTCTGGGGAGGCAACGGGGAAGGCGATGATGCTCTGGAGAAAGACCTGCCGGCAGCTGAAGGTAGCCAGAGGGCAGGGCCGCCCTTTCCCTGGAGCCTGGGGCTGGTGGGGAAGATGCTCCCCTTCCCTGTGGGAAGGAGGTGCAAGGAGTGTTTGTGGGGGGGCCAGAGTTAGCGCCGACTTTTCTGGAATAAGGGTGGTAGAAGGGGGACTGTCTCGCTCCCTTCTCTGGACTCACCCATTCCACCTTCCCTTCTTTGCTCCTTCTAGGAGACGATATGAGGGCAGTGCAGCTGAGTCCTGGGGTGGGTTCACCCCCTGGCCCACCTGGAGATCTGGAAGATGATGAAGGCTTGAAGCACCTGCAGCAGGTGTGAGGGGGCCTGAGAAGGCTCTGGGGATCCTCCCCTCTTGGGGGGACAGAGAGTCTTTATTCCGTCTGTCTTTGCCCCGGTTCCAGGCTTTTCCCCATTGGTCCCACTGTGTTAGGACCTGCTCTCTTGACCCCACCCCACCTTAGCCCCAGCCCCGTCCGATGTTGCTGGGCTTGGCCGGTTAAGGCTTCCCCTCTCTCCCTGGGTTCCCAGGAGGCGGAGAAGCTCGTGGCCTCCCTGCAGGACAGCTCCCTGGAGGAGGAGCAGTTCACAGCCGCCATCCAGGCCCAGGGCCTGCGCCACTCTGCAGCTGCCACTGCCCTCCCCCTCAGCCATGGCGCGGCCCGGAAGTGGTTCTACAAGGACCCGCAGGGGGAGATCCAAGGTGCCCGTGGGAAACAGGGCATGCAGGAGGGGCTCCTGGGGCGTGGGGACAGCACCGTTCTCATCAAGGGCTCCTCTGGCGCACTTTTCTGACCACAGCCCCCTTTCCCTTGGCCCAGGCCCCTTCACGACACAGGAGATGGCGGAGTGGTTCCAGGCGGGCTATTTCTCCATGGCCCTGCTTGTGAAGCGGGGCTGTGATGAGGGCTTCCAGCCGTTGGGTGAGGTGATCAAGATGTGGGGTCGTGTGCCCTTTGCCCCTGGGCCCTCACCACCCCCACTGCTGGTGAGCATACCCCCCTTTGCACAGAGTAGGGACGGGAGGTGGGAGCCTGGCGGATGGCAGCGGGCGCTGCAGAGCAAGCCAAGGTCAGAGCCGCCGGAACTCTCTGGCCGTCACTCAGGGAAACATGGACCAGGAGCGGCTGAAGAAGCAGCAGGAGCTGGCGGCAGCCGCCTTGTACCAGCAGCTGCAGCACCAGCAGTTTCTGCAGCTGGTCGGCAGGTATGGGGGGCCCAGCAGGGCTTGTCAGTAGGGCTGCACTGGCCCTGTGGCCGGCCCACCTCATGCCCGTCCACTTCTCGGCAGCCGCCAGCTCCCGCAGTGTGCGCTCCGGGAAAAGGCGGCTCTGGGGGACCTGCCGCCGCCGCCGCAGCAGCAGCTCACCGCGTTCCTGCAGCAGCTCCAAGCTCTCAAGCCCCCCAGGTGTGTGGGATGCTCCATCCTCGCTCTGTGTTCCCGTGGCCGCGCGCACAGCCCTCGGGTGGTGGGGGCGTGGGGTGCAGGCTGGAAATGGCTTTAGGGTGCTGAGTGTCAGTGCTTTGCTCCCCAGGGGTGGGGACCAGAACTTGCTCCCGACGATGAACCGGTCCCTGTCAGCGCCAGACTCGGGCCCCCTCTGGGACATACATACCTCAGCCTCATCACAGTCAGGTGTGCGGCCAGCCACTGCCCGCCCGGCCCATCCTGAGCCCTGAAGTCCCCTCCCTATCCCCGACGGCCGCGGGTGGGTGGGTACCCTGAGGCCTGAGCTCCCTCCTGCAGCTGCCTTTGCTCCCTGCAGGCGGTGAGGCCAGTCTTTGGGACATACCAATTAACTCTTCGACTCAGGGTCCAATTCTAGAACAACTCCAGCTGCAGCATAAAGTGAGTGGGCGTCTGGGGCTGGAGTCCTCGGGTATCGGGGGCCGGGCCATGGCAGGGAAGGCCTGACGTCAGGTCTGATGTCGACCGCTGCAGTTCCAGGAGCGCAGAGAAGTGGAGCTCAGGGCGAAGCGGGAGGAGGAGGAGCGCAAGCGCCGAGAGGAGAAGCGCCGCCAGCAGCAGCAGGAGGAGCAGAAGCGGCGGCAGGAAGAAGAGGAGCTGTTTCGGCGCAAGCAGGTGGGGGCCCGGCCGAGCGCACGTCCTGCCCGGGCCGGGCGGGGGTGCCCGCCGGCCCTCACCGCGTCTCTGCCTCAGGTGCGGCAGCAGGAGCTCCTGCTGAAGCTGCTCCAGCAGCAGCAGGCGGTGGCTGCCGTCCCTGTGCCTCCTGCGCCCAGTTCCCCGCCCCCGCTGTGGGCCGGCCTGGCCAAGCAGGGCCTGTCGATGAAGACGCTGCTGGAGCTGCAGCTGGAGGGCGAGCGGCAGATGCATAAGCAGCCCCCGCCTCGGGAGCCTTCGCGGGCCCAGGCTCCCAACCACCGCGTGGTGAGCAGGCTGGGCCTGGCCCCTGCTGGCTGGCACCTTGGGGCCCTCGGGAACCCCTTCCGGTCAGCTCCCAGGGTGACCCGGGGTGGGGGGCACACTGGTCCCCATGTGACCCTGGAGGCGCTCTCTTCTGTGAGGCCCTCACCTCACCTCACCCACCCGCCGTGCCACCTGAACGAACCTCCCACTCAGCGTTGAGTGTGTGTGTCCCGGCCTGGGCCACCCTGACTTACTGCCCTCTGTAGCAGCTCGGGGGCCTGGGCGCCACCCCCCTGAACCAGTGGGTGTCTGAGGCTGGGCCGCTGTGGGGCGGGCCCGACAAGAGTGGGGGCAGCAGCGGCCTGGGGCTCTGGGAGGACACCCTCAAGAGCAGCGGGAGCCTGGCCCGCAGCCTGGGCCTGAAGAACAGCCGCAGCAGCCCCTCTCTCAGGTGGGCGCCGGGGCCTGCGGGGGTGGGCGTGGGAGGGTGCGGGACTCTCTCAGGTGGGCGCCGGGGCCTGCGGGGGTGGGCGTGGGAGGGTGCGGGACTCTCTCAGGTGGGCGCCGGGGCCTGCGGGGGTGGGCGTGGGAGGGTGCGGGACTCCTGAGCTTCACCTCCATCCCGCTCAGTGACTCGTACAGCCACCTGTCGGGTCGGCCTGTGCGCAAAAAGACGGAAGAGGAAGAGAAGCTGCTGAAGCTGCTCCAGGGCATCCCCCGGCCCCAGGATGGCTTCACCCAGTGGTGTGAGCAGATGCTGCACACGCTGAGCACCACGGGCAGCCTGGACGGTACAGGCGGCTTTCCCCGGGAGGCCGGCTGGGGGTACCAGACCCGCATCGGTGGGCTCTGACAGCCCCATCCTGCCCCGCAGTGCCCATGGCTGTAGCGATCCTCAAGGAGGTGGAATCCCCCTACGACGTCCATGACTATATCCGTTCCTGCCTGGGGGACACGCTGGAAGCCAAAGAATTTGCCAAACAATTCCTGGAGCGGAGGGCCAAGCAGAAGGCCAGCCAGCAGCGGCAGCAGCAGCAGGTGAGGTTTCACAGAGCCCTGGCCAGAGGCAGTGGGGGCGCCCAGTGCTCCCCTGACCGCCCCCCCACCTCTGCTGCTTGGCAGGAGGCTTGGCTGAGCAGTGGCTCCCTGCAGACAGCCTTTCAGACCAACCACAGCACCAAACTCGGCTCTGGGGAGGGCAGCAAGGCCAAGAGGCGGGCACTGATGCTGCACTCAGACCCCAGCATCTTGGGTGAGTGTGGAGTGGGGAGGAGGCTCCTTGCTCAGCACTGGGCAGGAGCCTGGGTGGGTGAGCTCAAACCCAGCTTCCCCTGGCTTCAGGGTACTCCCTGCATGGACCTTCTGGTGAGATCGAGAGCGTGGATGACTACTGACCAGCGCGTCCCACCAGCACCCTGGGCTATAGGCCAGGGGCAGCAGCAACGGCTTGGACCCCTGGGTCCCCGGCCTGCAGGCTCCCCACGAGGAGCATAGGAGGAAGCAGGGGCAGGGTCCCCAGCACTTGTTACAAACCACACGATGCACCTTAACTCACCCACCACGAGGCACTTTACAGATTGGGGGGAAGGGTTTTTTTGTTTTGTTTTTGTTTTTAATTTTAAACAACATTGAAGAAAACATTAGAGACAAAAAAAAATTGTTAAGAAGGAGACTCTAAGCACTCCCTTTCCCTTTTGGGGATGGGGGAGCAACAATGGAAGATCCACAGAGGTTTTTGTTTCGTTTTTTTTTCTTTTTTTTTTCTTTTTTTTTAAGAAAAAAGAAAAACAAAAAAAAATGGTTAGGAGACTGAAAGAAAAAACACACTGTTATTTTGGGGCAGTGGGGACACGGGCCCCACGGACCTGTCCTGCCTGGCCCCCGAGGCTGCACTTACCCTCCCTGCCCCACACGGTGGGCCACTGGGGTAACTGGAAGCTGGGGTGCCAGCAGTTTGCACAGCGAGGCCCCCTCAGCCCCGCCGGCCGGACCCGCTGTGAACGGCTCCCTTGTTGCTGTGACTGTGGCAGAGGTGTCTGAGGTGGGGGCCAAAGTAGCCCCTTGGCTTCGCTGCTTCTGGGGAAAGTTGCACAAATGGGCCAGGCCGCCTCAGCACCCCAGGCTGCCGCCCTGCACCGGCTGACAGGGTGGATGGGAGAGGGCCGGCAGTGCCAACCTCATCTGGCTGTCAGGCCGGCAGAACTTCCACTCTGGCTCTGGTGAGGGGCTTCCCCCTCCGCTGCCATTCGGGGGGCCGGCCTGGGTGCGAAGCTGAAAGTTCCAGCTCCCTGCCTTGCCACATGAATGTATTCTCTGGGCCACGAGCCCCTGCTGCGCACGCTGCCTCAACCCGAGAGAGGTGGGGGCGGAGCAGTTCCTCCAGGAGCTGGAGAGAGAGGCGCCACTTCATGACTGTTGTTCCTCCTGTGAAGGGGGCAGGCGAGGGGCCAAGGAGGCCACGGAGTGGGCCGCTTGGGGCTTCTGGTTGCAGTGCGGGGCTGTTAGAAGGGAGCCCCCCACCTGCAGCCAGCTGTGTGGGACATGGACCACCCAGCTCGGCCCTGACCCCTCCATTGACCAAATGGGAGAGGAGCACGCGGCCTCTCCCCTCCCTGCTCCCCTCATGTTTTTAAATGTTGGGTAGGGTGGGGTGTCAAGAATGGGAGTGTCTATCTCTCCTGGGTCGGGGGTAGGCTGCCCTTCACCAACTTATTCCCAATCACCTACCTGGGTTTGTCTCCATTTGGGTTGTTTTTTTTTTGTTTTTTTTTTAAGTTTGTTGTATCTTTTGGATTTCTCATTTAACTTCTCCCGTGGACCTCATTGCTCAGAGCGCAGTATTAGGGCAAGATTCTGCCACTGCCTCCCCTCCATGAATGTATTTATCCTTCCTGCCCTGGGGAAATGGGGAGTGGCCCCAGTTTTCTTTCCCCATCTATCCCCAGAGAGATGATTTTTTTAACTTTTTTTTTTTTTTTTTTTTTTTTTGCACCAAAGTGGCAACTGGGTCAGTGTTGGGGGATAAAGCTGGCCTCGGGGGTGGAGGGGCCCCCTCCACCTGCTTCTCCCTGGTTTCAACAGTGTTAGCGTCCGTGAAAAGACAATATTCTCTCTAAAGCAATAAGGGGGTGATGGGCCAGGGGGAAATGTCTTGCTGCTGCTGGCCCCCCAGCTCCCCCTTTCCTCGAGCCAGTATTTGGTGGCATTAGAGGTGTTGGGGGAGTACTGTTGTGACTGAATGTAACTGCCCCCACCCCTGCCGCAGCCAATGCAGGGGGAGGGGGGATGACACTCTTCCCCATCTCTTCCTTCCCCTCCCCCCCAGCTAAAGAGACTTTGAATTTAGGGGGCCCTTGAGCCTGGAGAGGCCTTAACCCTGTGAGGAAGTGTAGGGGGAGCCCTCTCCCACCCCCATCCCCTTCTGAGAGTGGTCAATGTTTACAAGCCCCTGAGCCCCCCAGCCCAGGGACTCAGGCCCCTTGCTGTCCTTTCCCAGCCCGTCTTCCTGGGCCCCGGCTGCTCCCCCGCCCTTCCTGGGGTTAGGGTGGGTGCAGGGGTCATTCTGTATCCTTGTCTGCCTTGTACCCACCATCTCCCCAACCTGTGTGACTCCCTTCTCGTCTACCTGCCTCTGTAAATACTCCGCTTCCCCCCAATAAAACTTGGTGTGTGTTCTCCCCTCCTGCGTCTGCGTTGTTTCTTGGGGTAAGGGGATGTTGGGAACGAGAGGCACAGCTCAAAAGAGCTGGGAACTGAAAAAGCCACAGGCAAGGGGTGGCTATGGTCGGCCAGCCTAACCAGGCCAGACTAGAAATGGGAGGGCTGTGTGTGTGGAACACCTGTGACCTGCGGGCCAGAGAAGGTCCTCCCACCTGTGACTCCGCTTCTGGCTGAGGAGGAGTGGTAGTCCCCACCCCACTATTTGGAGCCCCACATCCCCCCAGCTGGTCTGCCGCTGGGGACAGATACCTAGAGCGAGGAAGACATAAGCAAAGGTAGAGACCAGGTACAGAGTTGGAATTGGTTCCTTTATGGAAAAACTGAAAATATAATAAAAATTAAAATAAAACCAGTTTTAAAAAAGCCAGCCCCTGGAGTTTCCACCTCCTGCCTCTGGCCCTCCAGAGGGATGAGGCCCTGACCCCAGGGCAGCAAAAGGATGAGGGCTTTCTGCCCCTCCTCTTCCCCCATTCTATTCCCATCTTAATCTCCACAGTGGGGGCCCCGGGAGGAACCAAACCTGGGTAGGGGAGCAGGGACCCGAGGCCCCGTGGCCCGAGGAGGGAGGCTCGGTGTGCACCCAGCCCCAGAGCTCCCGACCTGTAGTGTGGGCATGGGCAGGGCCCCTCCTAGCCTGGGCCCAGCTGGGGTCGGGGCTGTTAGTTCCAGATCTTGAGGAAGGAGTCCCAGGAGCCTGTGGCCACAGCCATGCCATCGTCAGTGACCCCAAGGCAGCTCACTCGGTTGTCGTGGCCTGCGAGGACACCTGGGACGGAGCGGGACGTCAGAACTCCAGCCTCGTTTCCCTGTCCCCACCCACCCCCTGCTCAGCTCCCAGCTCTCACCTGCACGGTCGCCCTTCATGGCATCCCAGATGTTGCAATTGAAGTCGTCGTAGCCAGCGAGCAACAGCCTGCCGCTGCGCGAGAAGGCAACAGAGGTGATGCCGCAGATGATGTTGTCATGGGAATACATGAGGAGCTCCTGGTCGGCCCGCAGGTCAAAGAGGCGGCACGTGGCGTCGTCAGAGCCCGTGGTGAAGGCATAGCCGTTGGGGAAGAACTGCAGGACACAAGACCAGAGTGGGATGAGGATGCAGGGCAGGGCCTGGAGCCTGGCAAAGATGGGCCAACCCAGCTCTCCCAGAACTTACAGCCACGGCATTGATGTCGGACTCGTGGCCGATGAAGGTCTGTCGACACATCGAATCCCGCACGTCCCACAGCTTGATGGAGGCATCACAGGCGCCTGACACAAAGGTGCGGCCATCGGGGGCCAGTGACAGGGACATCACATCCCCACTGTGTCCAGCAAAACCCACCGTCTGCTGGCCTGTCTCAATGTCCCACAGGGCACTGGAGGTGTGACAGGAAGAAGGAATGGATCAGAGACGGGTGCAGGACAGACTCCCTCTCCCCTACCCCTCCACCCTGTGAGCCCAGGCCCAGTGAAGCCTCCACACAAGGGGCACCGGGAGCCACTGGGTGACAGAAGCCTGCTCCTGTCCCAGGTGAAAAGAGGTCCCCCACTTCCCCCTCCTTCCTGCCACCAGAGCAAAAGGCTGAGAGTTCAGAACAAGGGCTCTGCCGGTGCTTGCGCAGGGTGGGGACTACCGCCTGAGCACTGAGGCGGTGCTCCCTCCCCCGGCAGGAAGTGTAGGTGAGTCCCAACTGCCTAGCCCTGGCAGGGCCTCACCAGGTGGTGTCCCCAGAGCTGGTGATGATTTGGTTGTCATCCAGGAAGCGGCAGCATGACAGGTACCCTGGGGAAAGGGGCTGGTCAGCCGGGTCTTTAAGTGAGGGCAGCACAGCCCCTCACCCCGCAACAGTGCCTGTGCCTTGCCAGGCGCCTCTCACCAGTGTGGCCAGGCAGCTCCCGGCTGACCCTGACATTGCCCTCACGGGTCTTGAGGCTGTAGATGGAGCAGATGTTGTCCAATCCCCCACAGGCCACAAAGTTTCCTGAGGGCGCGTAGGCACAGGTCATGACCCAGGAGGAGCGCAGCGGGATGGCATGGACCTATGGACGAGGGGCAGTGCCCAGGGTCAGAGCCAGCCAGGGCCTGCAGCCCAGCCCCATCCGGCCTCAGGTGCCACCTCTACCTTGTTGGTGGTGTAGCTGTCCCAGATGATGAGCTTCCCGTCCTGGGAGGCACTGACCAGCAGCCTGTCGGAGAGTGGATGGAGACGCAGAGGGGTCAGGGTGGGAAGCCCCCTCTGGAGGCAGGACACCCTTCCCCCTCTCCCATCTGGTGGGAGACAACTCCCGGCAGCAGCTGAGAAGTTCCTGTCGGTATGGCCCTGTTTCCCATCCCCTGGGGATGTCTGGGAGTCATGGGCTTCCCAAACAGACTTGGCAACAGGGGCATCCTGTTTCTGGCACCAGACGTGCAAGGTTACCCCTGCCCACCCTGCCTGCCATAAACTCAGCCCAAGGCAAACACGACAGCTCAGCACACAGCCCCAGCCGCACCCACCTTGAGTCTGTCCCCCAGTGCATGGCGTAGATTTTTGCCAGGTGCCCACGGAGGGTCCTCCGTGTCCTCATTTGGATTCTCCCCACTGGGTCCAGCCCAGCTGTGATCTGGAGGTGGAGGCAGAATGGGCTCAGGAAGGTTCAGGCGGCAGGGCCCTCTGAGAAGTATGCTTCCAACCCGTGCTCCTTCCCTAAACCCAAGTCCAGCCCTGGATTCATCTCACCTGGGTCAGTGTTGAATCCCCACATGCTTTTCGGGCATCCTATAAGAGACGGCAGAGCCATTCATGGAGAGGCACGAAGATAAGACAGGAGAAGAGGAAAGAGAACAGGAAACAAGGGAATGGAGAGGATGAGACAGGAGTATATTAGGGTACCCCACCACCACCCACACACAAACCCCTCCCCTGGCCCGGTGCACACAAGCCACTCGGCCCTGCCCGCTCAGCCGCCGCAGCCCGGCGGCCAGGCCCTCACCCGGATCTGGTTCCGGAGCTGCTCAGCCTCCTGTCTCAGTTGCTCCAGCTCACTCATGGCGCCGGGCCCGTGGGGCGGGGTTGGGGGCGGCTGGGGGCCGCGGGACGGGGGCTGGGGGAGGCAGCTCCTCGCCGCTGGCCCGAGGCCTGGGGGATGCAGGGCTGACGTCAGGCCCAAGGCCGCCGGGGAAGAAGGGGGAAAGGCGGGGTTGACGCGCGGCCCGGAAGGGGTAAGTACAGGTCGGAGGGGGAGGGGGCGCCAGCGGTGGCCGCGGTCCCCCGGACAGAGCACGGGCCTCTGGCACGGGAGAGACGTAGCCGGGGAACAGCTGACTTCCCCAATCTTCCTCCCGCCCCCCGGAAACGGAGCGGGAAGCTCAAGAGGAAGCGCAGGGGAAACTCCTCCCTCGGACAGCAGCCCGGGCGGGACACCCGCGGCAGGAACTGGGGTGCGGGAAGGGGCGGGGAGAGTCCCTTCGAAAACAGACCGGGCGTCCTCCCCGGCCCGCAGAGACACCGCCCTCCTAGCACCTAATTTTAAAAGGGACGGTGCCTCTTTAAATTCACCCCCATACACCGCACACCCTCCACACACACATCCCCAGCTTCGACTGGGGGTGGGGGAGACCAGAGGGGAAAGCTGGGCTGTTCGTGGGGTTGCCTAGGCAACCGTCACCCGGACTGAGAGCACCTCATTGGTGAAGTGCCCCCACCCTAGCCCGGTTGCCGAGGCAACCGCATCCACGGCTGAGACCTGTAGGGTGGATGACCCCACCCCCGGCCCCATCGCCCCCGCCCGACCCAGCCTCCCGCCCCTCCCCAGAACCAGCCAGGGTGGCTGTTTACAGGATTTGGGAAAAGCCGATTGGGCACTAATAGGTTCGGGACGGCTCACCCCGGATTATCCCTGGGCCGGCTGCGCCCCATTAGCCGCCCGCGGCGGGTGGAGGCGAGGGTGGCGAGGTAGCCAGCCCCAAGCCGCTGCTCCCTCCAGCGGCTAGGCCGCCCGCTCCGGCGCGCCCGCAGAAAGCCCGTGGGAGCCGCTCTCGAGTAATTAGGACTCCAAAGAGAGGTCCCGGGCCCAGAGGCGCGGAGCTGCTCTCTCCCAGGCGCCGGCGGGCGGGCGAGCGGGCGGCCCCAGGCGGCCCGGCTCCCCAAGAGCCCAGCCCGCGGGCTCCGCGCCGGGGCCCCAGGGGCCTGGCTGGCTCCGCTCCAGGGCCCGGAGTCCTGCCCCCCCTCCCCTTTAGACACCTGTGTGATCTGGCCATGCACACTGCACTCTGCCCACCCAGGCGTCCCCCATCCTGCTCCCATTTCCCCCGTACCCTGGGCGTTCCTCTTCCCCACTGACATTTCCCCTCTGTTCAGCTTTTCTACACCCGCGCCCGAGGACGCCCCTCCAAAAAAGGGAGGGGGCAAAGCCCCCCACCCCACTTCCCCAGCTCCGGAGAAAGCCCCTTCCTTCCAGCTGCCGGCAGCCCAGGCGGGGCGGCAACGCCAGACGCCCGGGGCAGAAGGAAGCAGGCCGGGAGGAAGCCGCTGGGGGCGGGGGCGACGCTCCCAGACCTCAATCCCCATCACTCGCCAGGGCCCCCTAGGCGGCCCCGGGTTCTGGGCATACAGCAGCCGGGGGTACCACGGAGAAATGGGGGTGCAACCACCTCCGCAGGTCTAGTGGGGAGAAGGGGAAGGGACAAGGGAGGGTCCCCGGATCTGGCAGCTGGAAGGCGCGGGCCGGTGCCGCGCTGCTAAGCGCAGTGGGCCTGGTCCTCCGGCCCCCACGACCTCCATTTTGCCCAAATGAAAGCTAGGCGGGGGGGTGGGGGTGGGGGTGGGTGGGGGCCGCCTGGGAGCTAAGCGTGGGGTTAGGACTACTAAAGGTAAGAGGGTGCCGAGGTGTCCGGTCTAGGGTAATGTGGCCAGAAAACACGGGCAGACCCCAAATCGAGGTGGCGACGAGGAGAAGGGTAGCCTCGCGGCCCTGCCTGCCTCAGTGAGGATTCTGGAGTTTTGCAAGGCGAATGCCGGCGGGGGTGCGAAATGGGAGGACACGAGGGGTGCTACCCAGGGGCAGGCAAGGGGGTGGTAGAGGTGGGGAAAGGGGGCGGGGCGGGGCTTAGAGGAAGCCCCGAATTTAGACCCCCAACTTCTCAGGGAACAAGAGGTAGGTGGGGCTGGCCTGGGATCTGGGGTCAGGCAAAAAAACCCCGATGGTGCAGCGAGAGCGTGCGTTATTGGAGGCGAGGGTCCCCCGGTTTCCCTTCCGGGTTTGGGAGCGACGGGGCCAGAAAAAGGGAGGGGAGGTCTGGAGAGTTACGTCCGCTCCCGAGAGGCCAGACCGGGGAGACAGAAGAGAGGTTCCCCCCTGGGAATTTGGGGCTTAGGGGGGGAATGAGGACTCCTTTTATCAGCGGAGGTACCTGTGGCGGTGGGACTCTGCGAAGGGTCGCTAGAGGAGCGCGAGAGGTCCTGTCTTCCTCCGCGGCGGAGGCGGCAGCGGCGGCGACGCGGATGGATTTCCTCAGTCACCGCAACTCACCGTCCAGCTCTGCTCTCCCTAGAGCGGAGGGATCCCGCCCGCCAGTGACGCGGCCGTCGCCGCCGCGCCCAGGGCCCGGCTGGGCGAGACCAACTACTTAGTGGGGGGAGCCCGGAAGGGAAAATACCACCTAAGGGGCAAATATTGGCCCTGTCACATCAAAGATATTACTCCACACTATTTCCACGCAAAACGGACCAAAACAGATGCTTTGCCTCCCCAAAAGGCGCAAGACATCTCCCCCGGGACTGGCAGAGATGGTACCGGCATAGGGGAGGGTGAAACCGCGGGATGATCACGTGACCTACCCTCCCGGATTGGGCGGCTCCAGACTGGGAAGGGGAGTTCGACGTCCCAGTTCGCGCCCTGGCTCCGCCCCCTGCATGTGAGGCCACGCCCCTACTTAGGGGGCGGAGTTAGAGAGTTCCTGACCCACGCAGGGCTAGCCCGCAGGCCTCAGCGCTGCAGAGGAAAGGGCAACGATGCCGAAGGTACCCGAGCAGGAAGGAGTGGGGGCAGCTTCTGCCCCTGGGAACTCAGGTGTGCTGGGAGAAAAGTCCTGCCCAGGCAGTGTCCCCACGTTGCTCAGTGGGCTTTTGTAGAACTCTTTACAGGGCTGCATGACACCGTAATAACAACTCATATTTATTGATTTCCATACTTATTTAACGCTCACGACAATATTATGAAGTTAAGTACTGGCATTGTTACCATTTTATAGTAGTGGAAACAGATTCCTAGGGCTGCAGAGTTAAGATGTGAACCAGGGCAGCTTTGTCGACTTTACTGTGTGCAGTGCTAGCCTCTTGATGAACCCCTGGACCATCCCTGTAAAGGGATGAGAATGTAAGTATAAGCCTCAGTTTCCACATTTACAAAATGAGGCTGTTGATAGCTAACTGCCCTGCAAGTCACCTTGGATTGTCATGAGATCCCCACAGATTGTGAAAATGTTTTGGTAAGTTCAAGTCAGTGAATAGCCTTCGCCTCCTCATGAAATTTAAAAGTATCAAAACAGACACTTTTCATGTAACCTCTGTTGAAGGCATTACAAATAGTTTTCAAAGCACCAATTTTTTTGTGGGGGGGTGCAGATCTTAGTTCCCCAACCAGGGATTAAACCCGGGCCCCAGCAGTGAAAGCACTGAGTCCTAACCCACTGGACCGCCAGGGAATTCCCATCAAAGCACCAATTTTTTAAGAAAATAAGAAAAAAAGTCATTCTTACTTAAGCACAGATTCCATGTATGTGCACTCACCAATTCAGTGATATATTAGCAGTAGGTAAGAGATGTCAATTAGAATTTGGAAAGGACCTTATATTTACTTCAGTTTCAATCTCCAGATGGGCGAAGAGACTTCCCTAAAGTCATTTAGTAAACTAGCAGCCGATGACTAGAACCCAATTTTGTTAATCTCTGTAGGGCATCTGACACTGCTTCCTCTCACTTGGGTTCTGTGCTAATATGCTTCCTTGTTTTAACCCAATCAGCAAATATTTATTGAGTTCCAAAGATGTATCAGGCACTGTCTTAGGCCCTGGTGATACAACCTCGAATCTGTGCACCCTCCTCTGCCTGCAGGGAGCTTACAATCTACAGAGGAGACAGATGGTAGACAACCATGGAAATAACTATTAGTACTGGAGGCTTGAAAGTGCCATTTACTGAGAGCAGAGCAGTTGGAAGGGGACATATTTGGGGAAGAAGATCAAGAGTTTTAAGTTGGGACGTGTTAGGCTTGAGGTGCCTAGGAGAGGTGCAAGGCAGAATGCTCAGTAGTGGCTGTCGAAGCAGGTCTGGGGCTCAGCAGGAGTCTGGGTTGGAATAGAGCCTTGAGAATGAGTGGCATTTTAGAGCAGATGAAATCATAAAGAGGTTCAGGGAAAAGACAAGATGGCCTAAGACCAAGCCCTGAGGAACTCCAACATTTAAAGGTCAGGCAGAGGAGAACAGGCTGCCAAAGGAGAAGCCAGAGAGCTAAGAAGAAAATCAGGAGAACGTGGAATTCTGGAACCCAACAGAATTTTTGGAAAATTCTGTTCCGAAAAAGGAATGGTAAACTGTGCTTAATGCTGCAGAGAGGTGAAACAAAGCTGGACTGGGAAGAGGGCATAGGACTGACTACCGGGGAGGCTGCTGCTGGCTTGGTCTGGAGCATCTGCAATGGATGCTTTGCTAGCAGCGGGCTGAGGACAAGTGAGAAATGAGGCGGTGGAGACAACCAAGGTGGCCAAGGCTTTGGGAATCTTGGCTGCAAGGGGGTATAGAAAGGTGGGGCGGCAATGGGAGGAGAATGTGGAGTCAAGAAATATGTGTTTTGATGGGAGCTCCTGGAGCTTGTTTAGATAATAATGAGAAGGGCTTCCCTGGTGGCACAGTGGTTAAGAATCTGCCTGCCAATGCAGGGGACACGGGTTCAAGCCCTGGTCCGGGAAGATCCCACATGCCGTGGAGCAACTAAACCCGTGTGCCACAACTACTGAGCCTGTGCTCTAGAGCCCGCAAGCCACAACTGCTGAGCCCGTGTGCCTAGAGCCCGTGCTCCGCAACAAGAGAAGCCACTGCAATGAGAAGCCCACGCACCGCAGCTAAGAGTACCCCCCACTCGCCACAATTAGAGAAAGCCCACGTGCAGCAACAAAGACCCAATGCAGCCAAAAATAATAAGTAAATTTATTAAAAAAAAACAAACCTTGTTTATAAAAATAATAATAATAAAAAAGATAATAATGAGAAGGACAGAAAGGAGAGAGAGGTGAAGATAGAGACAGGTAGGGGATGACCAGAGGATGACCAATCTCTCTGAGAAGGCAGAAGCCCTGGAGCACATGTGGAAAACCTGGCCCTGGTGGGTCATGGGACACTTTCTCCTCCCTCTGACTGTTCTTTCTCAGGCTTCTCCTCAGCCTTCTCCTCCTCTTCAGGACACTCTGTAAACGTTGATTTTCTCAGGATCCCAGCTTCAGCCTCCTCTTCTCACTCTCCATGTTATTCACTGGTGACTCCAGTCACTACTGGGACTTTCATTACCCCTTAATTGCTCATCACTCTCAGATCTCTGTCTCCACATGCAGACTTGGTGTCTGTCCAACTGCAGACTGAACGTCTCCACCTGCATGTTCATGGACAGTGGTGCACTGGAGTCAGCTCGTGCTAGCTTGAACCAGCTCACAAGAGGCCATCGTATACCTCTCTTCCCAACTCCTTATTCAATGATGTCATGTTGATAGTAGTAACTTGTAATCGTTGTGGTGAGAGTATTTACACCATGGAAGTCAGCAAATGCTTCAGATAGAAATTCCCCTTTCCCGAAGAGTTGATTGTTAAAACAGTGACTGCACATCACTGTTGACAGATGTCTCACATTCAACATATTCAAAACTAAAGTAATCCTCTTCCACCCTACCCCATCCTACCCAACCCTACTTCTCTGAATCTCTTGGCCCAGTTAACAGCACCACCATCTGCCCAGGAGCTTCTCACCCCCTCATTCCCCATATCCAAAAGATGGTCAGTTAGTTAGGCTATAGTCCAAGCTGCTAGAACAAAGAGTCCCCAAAATTCAGTGGCTTAAGTGACAACCCCAGAATAGATCCTCCAGGACTGTGGGGCATCTCAGCCATCCTCAACCTGTGGCTTCCATCTCTGTGTCCAATGTGGCCCAGGCATTTCCCACTATTGTATCTGAATCCATCTCTTGGGAAGGGGGGTGGCATGGAAGCATGAGTTCTTTCCTGTTTAAGGACACCACTAACTTCTATTCAGAAGTTGGCCAGATGCAAGGAAGGCTGGGAAATGTAGTCTGTAGCCATATACCCAGTTAAAACATTGTTCATAAACAAAGAAGGGGGACTTCCCTGGTGGCACAGTGGTTAAGAATCTGCTGCCATTGCAGGGGACGTAGGTTCAGTCCCTGGTCTGGGAAGATCCCACATGCCGCGGAGCAACTAAGCCTGTGCGCTGCAACTACTGAGCCTGTGCTGTAGAGCCACAACTGCTGAAGCCTACGCGCCTAGGGCCCGTGCTCCACAGTAAGAGAAGCCACTGCAATGAGAAGTCCACGCACCGCAATGAAGAGTAGCCCCCGCTCACCACAACTAGAGAAAGCCCGCGCGCAGCAACAAAGACCCAACGCAGCCAAAAATAACTAAAGTAAATAAACTTATTTTAAAAAAAAGAAAGGAGGGAGATGGCTATTGATGTAAGGCTAGCAGTCTACGTCATCAGTGAATACATCTTGTCAGTGCTACCTCTCCAATATTACTTAAATCTATCCGTTCTACTGTACGCCAGCTGCTATTACCTTGGTTCTTGCCTATTTCCTGGCCTTTCAGGATAGTCCCTCTCTAATCAACCTACCAAATAGCTGCCAGGAGGTATCTTTCTAAAATGCAAGTTGGATCGTATAACTTTGCTGTTCAAAACCATGCAGTAGTTCCCCACTGACTCCATGACGAGGGCCAAACTTCTTTGCAAGACAGAGAGGCTGGGTCTTTTCCCCTCTATTAAGAATGCCTTCCACCCCCCATTCCAATTCTACTTCCTGTCAGCTGGGAAATTTTTCATTTTCTCAGTCTTAGTTTAAATATTGCTTCCCTAACTACGTCACTGTTTGTGCCCCACTGCAGTGCTGGCTCCGTGCCTATTGCAGTCTTTACTGGACTTTCTTTCTGGGCACTTGCCACCTGCACTAGGGGCTCCCTGGGAAGCCAGGGCACTTGGCTTGTCTGGAAGAGGGCTAGGTGAGAGCTCACCAGGCAATGAATAGACACAAACAAGATGCCAAATCCTATCCAAGGTGTGGGGTCTGAGGGTCATGGTCCTACCACCTTCAATATCATTACCAGGTGCTCAGGTTTGGCCAGTGTGAGAACCTCCAGATGACTTTATTGAGCTAATTGTTTAATCATCCATCTTCTAAAATAGACATTAAACTCAGTGAGAGTCACATCAAGTTATATGAGCCATTTTATTCCCAGTGCCTATCAGGCACCTGGAGAACATCTATGAAATGAATAGAAGTATGGCAACATTTTCCC